CTCTCTCTCTCTCTCTCTCTCTCTCTCTCTCTCTCTCTCTCTCTCTCACACACACACACACACACACACACACGAATCCATGATGGTGCATGCCTGTAATCTCAGTACTTGGGAGGCTGAGGCAGGAGGAACAACAGTTTGAGACCAGAGCTGGTGTGGTAATGTAGTAAAGTGTTTATCATGCAAGCATGAAGATCTAAGTTTGGTCCCTAGCACCCACATGCTAGGCTGGGTATGGCAGCACAGGCTTACAAGCTCAGCACTGGAGAAACATAGATAGGAAGATTCCTGGGGCTCATCAGCTAGCCAGTCTAGACTAATTGGCACGCCCCAGGTCCCAGTGAAAAATCTCTGCCTCAAAACAAATTGATAAAATAATTAAATACGTAAACAAATCGAGTAGCTCCTGAAAACGACATCCTAGGTTGACCTCTGGCCTTCACTTATGTCTGCATGCACGTGTACTAACACCTACATGTATACTTTCACACACACAAATACACAGATTGTTCAGTCTAGGGTATGTGATGGATGAAACCTAGTCTCAAATTTTTTTTTGGCATCTGTGTAGCTATATGGTAGTACATGTCTGTTCTCTTAGCACTTGGTAGGCTGAGGCATGAGGATAAGGAATTTGAAGCCAGGCTGAGATACATGAAACCCTGTTTCAAAAACCAAAACTAATTCTTGTGTGTAAAAGTGCTTAACATATGAAGGGTTATGTTCCATCTCAAGTATCAAAACAAGAAGGGAATGTCCTGGTGCTCTGTTGTCTTCTGTGATCTAAATATTATCCCCGTTGTTTACATTTGTATATTCAAACTGGTTAATACTTACATAAAAGAATGTGATTTTCTCATAAATTATATTAAAGAGGTTCGTACATGACAGTTTCCATGAGGTAGACCCAGGTACCCAGAAACAAACTGGAAGTTTCAGAGTGTTTACTGTTTATTCAGCTGTTTTAAAGACCTGCAGATCATTTATTCACCCTTTGTGACATCCTCATAAAGCCACTGCTGTAATGATAGCAGTTTATGGTTTGGGAACAAGAGGACCCAAGAGGTTAGAAATCCTCTCCAATTGTGCAGTGAGTGAAGGTTTGGACTGAACTTGGGTTGTAATATGGTTCCTGACTCCAGATTCTTTACCTCTAAGCCTCTCCAAGTGATTAGTAAACTATCATCCTCCCATGTCACACATGTCTCCATGTCTTGACCCTGTCTCAGTATCAATAAAGAAGGTTGGCTTCCTACTTTGTCATCTGTAAAGTAGCCACTGCTAGGTATGATGGCTCATGGCTATGATCCCAGTGCTTGGGAGGTCGGATCAGAAGGATCACTGAGAGTTTGAGGCCTGCCCAGGCTACTTAGTGAGCTCCAGGCCAGCTTGGTATACAACATGAGACCCTGTTTCAAAAACAGAAGGAAATAATAAAATAAAATAAAATAAAATAAAATAAAATTTTGTTGAGGAAGGTGAGGACATCTACCTCCACTCAGCTCCCAGCAGCCCATCAAGTCTCACAGATTGGGATCTGACAGCATTCTGGCCCTGAGCACCCTTAAAGACAAGGTAAAATGAATGACAGTGAAGGTAGTTGACATCACTTTTCCTGTTGCTGAGTAAACACATGACACATGTTCTATTTCCTGACTCCTTCCCCCAACCTACCTTCCCTGCCTACAGGAAGACACGACATGTCAACATTTTGCTGTTCATGGGTTTCATGACTCGGCCAGGGTTTGCCATCATCACACAGTGGTGTGAGGGTTCCAGCCTCTACCACCACCTACATGTGGCTGACACGCGCTTTGACATGGTCCAGCTCATTGATGTGGCCCGGCAGACTGCCCAGGGCATGGAGTGAGCCTCACATCTTAGAGAGTTGGGGAGGTGGGAGGGAGAGCTGAAATAGTCTCCAGACAATTCACTACCCACTTCCATCTCCACAGCTACCTCCACGCCAAGAACATCATTCACCGAGACCTAAAGTCCAACAGTATCTACCTGTCCCTGGCTGGAATTGGGGGTGGGTATTAATCAGAGTGATAGTTTAAAGGGATGATTTTGGGGGTAAGATTCTGGACGTGAAAAGAGAAGGGCCTATATCCTGTGGTTTCTTGCCAGGGAACAGCTGTACCTGGTGAAGGGCCTTTTAAATGAAGGTCCTTTGTTTAGAGGTCAGATGTTGGATACTCTGGCCATGTGAGATGTAGTAGTTGTAGATGATATTACAGGAAGCTCATGGTCAGTGTCCCAGGCATGACAGCTTTAGGTGTCATCCTAAAGGGGACTTGGTTTTGGGTCACAGTGGAACCAAGTGCAGTCCCATCAGTTGTGGATAGTTAGTATGAAATAGGGGTGGCTTCTGGCAAGAGATATAACTCATTAGCATAGGAGTTCTGAAAACCATCCAGTCAGGGTATGAGACATAGCTTTTGGGATTTCTTGTAATGGCCCTTGACCTTGCTGGATATCTTCCTACATGAGGGGCTCACAGTCAAGATTGGTGACTTCGGCTTGGCCACGGTGAAGACACGGTGGAGTGGGGCCCAGCCCTTAGAGCAGCCCTCAGGGTCTGTGCTATGGATGGTAAGTTGGGCCAGGCTAGATGGGGAGCAATGGGAGATATGAACTTTCGGATTGGGATATGCCAGGCAAAGTGGGGATGCCTGTGCAGGGGGTGGGGGGTATCTGGACTGCCCGTGTTTCACCTCGTGTGGGTGGCACTGAGTTGTCTTCAGTGGAATTATCAGGGTCAAGTACTGTGGGCTAGTCATTTTTTGTCCCTCATGGTCCCCCTGCCCTGTCTGGCCTACTGAAGGCAGCTGAGGTGATCCGCATGCAGGACCCGAACCCTTACAGCTTCCAGTCGGATGTCTATGCCTATGGTGTTGTGCTGTATGAGCTTATGACCGGCTCACTGCCCTACAGCCACATTGGCAGCCGTGACCAGGTGAGCCTCATAACTTACCCTCAGTTCTCAGGCTTCACACTCCAGGTCCCCTCATTTGTACAGACTGTTAATAGTTCCCCAACCCCCCAAGCCTAGGATTTTTCTGGATGAAGAGTCCTAGAATCTGTCTTTTAGATATCTCATACTAACTCCCATCCTCTTCATACATCCACAAACTCCTGAGCCAGAACCCTTAAAATCCAGATTTCTTTGACTTCTATATTCAGAATGCTCCTAGTCCCCCAAAGCCTTCAGAAGTCCCCTGAACCCTTCAACATTTACAGTCTCCTACTGTGGATGCTGAAAATACCCCAAGTGTCCAACACTCAGGCCCATTGTGCTTCTCAAATACCCATAGTCACCCCGAATTTGGGGTCCTGAAATCCATGACACTCTAGGTCTTAGATTCTCACAATTCTCTAAATTTAAAATCTAGAACCTTCCCTGTTCTTAGATACCAGTTCAGATATCAAGTATTTGAGCTTTGAGTACTTTACAGTCTACATAGACTTATTTATGGCCCAGACCCCTACAGAAATGGAAAATCTCCCCAGGAAGCAGTACTCTGCATTTCCCTGAATCTTAGTATTTTCTGGGCTTATACCCCTTAATAACTCTGGACTCCTATTGTTCTGGGCCATACACACCTACAGTCTTTGACACCCTGAATTTAAATTCCTCCCTTTTATCAACAGAAAGTCCTCCCAAGTCCTCAGGGACCCAGACTCCTCTGGGCCTTAATACTAGACACCTCTAGTCCTCAAAAATTAACCTTCCATATATTTTAAGATTCATAGTTCCCTGGGCCTCCCAGCCCAAACCCAAAATCAACCCATTCCCCTCCCCCCACCAGATCATCTTTATGGTGGGCCGTGGCTATCTGTCTCCGGACCTCAGCAAAATCTTCAGTAATTGCCCCAAAGCCATGAGGCGCCTGCTGACTGACTGCCTCAAGTTCCAGCGGGAGGAGCGGCCCCTATTTCCCCAGGTGGGCTGGGTAGGAGGGCTGGATACCTTGGGGAGATGCACTGAGAGATAGAGGCAGATGTTGAATGTGAACCATGTTGAAAACTGGGGGTTGGGGATATCAGAGTATCTCTGGGACTCTGGACACCCCTCTTCATCTCCACCTGCTCCCAGATTCTGGCCACGATCGAGCTACTGCAGCGGTCACTCCCCAAGATTGAGCGGAGTGCCTCCGAACCATCCTTGCACCGCACCCAGGCTGATGAGTTGCCTGCCTGCCTTCTCAGCGCAGCCCGCCTTGTGCCTTAGACCCCACTCCCAGCCCACCAGGGAGCCAGTTTCAGTCTACCATGCCAAGGCATCCCTACCTACCAGCCAATGATTGTTCTGCCTCTGCCTTGATACTGCCTCAGGATTCCCTATCCCATACCCTGGGAAATTTGGGGGACCCCAGAAACTGAGGTCCCCTGCTTTCTCCATAATTTGGTCTCCTCTTGGCTGTGGGGATAGTTCTAATTTGAAGAGCTGTTTTGTCTCCAATGGCTGGGATTCAGTGCAAGGATTCCACTCAACCTCTTTCTAAAGTTTTTGCTTGATGTGTCTTCACTGGATTTTGGGGTTCCCAGCACCCCATGTGGACTTGGGGGTTTCCCTTTGTCTCCACCACTATTCAAGGACTCTCCTCTTTACCAAGAAGCACAGAATTCTGCTGGGCCTTTGCTTGTTTATTTTGCTTCCCGACTCTTCTCTTGGGGTTCAGAGCCGCTGAGGGGTGGGGCAAGTCCAGGCAAGGAGTGGAGGTTGGAGGAAGATGCGGACCACACAAACAGCGCCACTGTACGCATTACCACAGGCGGCACGAACGAGGACCACATATGCCAAGCATGGCACAAAAGGAGGCCAAGTCAGTCACAGACACACACATTGGCAAAGGTGGGGGAGTGGGAGACCACAGGCCTTCCTTGTGCAAAGGATTCTGAGAGGTTGGGTGGAGTTTGCATATTTAACGACAGCTGTCAGAGGCAGGAAATTGGAGAGGGGGTTTCTGGAGGAGGGAACTTAGGGGTCCTAGAAGTGGAAGGAACTTCCAGTATGGTTGAGGGGAAGTCCTTGAGGGACTGGTTGGTGGATGATAGGTGGCATTTGAAGATGTGGATCTCCACAGAGATGATCTATAGAAGAGGTTTAAGGATAGGGGCTTCTTACAGAATTGGAACTTTCTGATTAAGGAGCAAGGTGTGCTGGAGATATTCAGGACCAAGAGTAGAATAGGGTTTTCCAGGAATTGCAGAGCTCCAGGAGAGGATTTGATATATTAGGTCAGAAACAGGTTTTCTGCCATTCAGGAACTTCCCGGGAGGAAATCACCCTTTAGAGGTACCAGAAGTAGAGGTCTTCAGGAATTTGGAGGTTCTAAAACAGATCTGGAGGTGACCAGGAACAGGATTCTAAATGGACTTGGGGATTCCCCAATGTGAGAACTGGATTTAGGACCAGGTTTCTCAAGGGACATCTTGAGGAATGAGAAATGGGATGTAGAAGAACCAGGAGAGGGGTTCTCAAGGGATTTGGAAATTCCAGAAGTGAGAAATGGACTCAGGACCCAGAGAGGGTTGTCTAGGGGTTTAGGGGTTCTCAGAGTGGGGTGTCAGTCGGAGAAGAGGCTGGCGAAAGACTTCCTCAGGCTGCGGATGGTCTCAGCTTTCACCTCGTCCTGGCTAAGGCTGGGCCTGGGCGGGGCTGGCTCTGGAAGGTTGAAGGCATTGGTCAGAGACTGGGATTTGCTAGAGAGAGACAAGGTGGAGGCATGGAAGGAAGGGGGAAGAGGAAGGGGAGGAAGGGGAGGAAGGGAGAGAAACACAATGTTACCCTAGGCCCAGCCCCAGCCCTGCCCCTCTGATCCTGGGGCTGTGCCTGTGACCTTCCCACCCCCAAGCATGGTCCTGAACCCTGATGGATTCTCAAGGGTGATGAAGCTGAGATCTGGGAAGATGTGGGGTCAGCTGAGAGGGCTTAGGGATAAGATAAAATGGCTGGCGTGGTTTAATGGGAAGATCCCTTGGCCCCAGTCTAGGCCAGTTTGCGGATGGATTCCAGTCAAAAGGTAAGGCGCCTAGGAGGAGCCTGGGCAAGGGACAGTCTAGTAGGAGGTAAGCCAGTCTGAGGGGGAGCAGATGGGATGGGGATGGGGGACAGAAAACTTTTGAGCTAAGGGCTAGAGGGACATAATGGACAAGGAGAAGCAGAAAGGGTGGTCTGATGATCTGGGAGAATTTGAAGTGGCAGGAGGATCTGGGAATGGACCAGAAAGGAGTCTAGACTATTGGGGAAGGTTTGAGGAAAGGCTGAAAAGAGTGAAATGATGGAAGGCTGGCTACAAATTGGCCTGAGGGGGTTCAGTGATATCTGGGAGGAGGGTGATAAGGAGAGATTAGAAGGGCAGGGAGGCACTGGAAATAGGTCAGTCAGGCTACAGGGACGGGCCAAAGGTCTAGAAGGGGGACTTTCCCAGGGCCTGTAGGGGAGGAACCTGAACTGGAAATGGAGATGCTGGGATTCTCCCCTCAACTGCTGGGATTGAGACAAAGGGTGTTGACCCAGTATGGCACGAGTTCTCAGGCAAATGAGATCTGGTTTTACTTAGGATCTGGGGATGCCCTACTGGGGCCAGTGCACACTGTGAGCAGCAAAGGCCAAGGCCTCTATAGAGGTCCCCTTACTTGAGCTGGGGGTGCGGGGGTCCCCCGGCAGTGGCGGTGATGGGTGGTGGCACATCCTGGCTGGGTTTCTGGGCCAGCTGTGGTTTGGTGGGACGTCCAGCAGGACCTGGGCCGCTGGGCCGGGGCTGCTGTGTGGTGGGTGGCCCAGTGCGAGGTCCAGGACCTGCCTGGCTGGCCTGACGAGTAGGACCAGCAGGGCCTGGGGGTTTCTGGGGAGGGCCCTGGCGCTGCTGCCCTCCGGGTGGGGCTCCTGAGGCCTTCGGTGGAACTGGACCAGAGATAGATGCCTGACGGGTAGCCTGTGGGGGCCCCGCCTGACGCTGTGGAGATGGGGAGGCCGGCGGGCGGGCTGCTGGAGGTGCTCCAGGGCCTCCTGCCACTGCCCGCGACTGGCGGCCTTGACCCTGGGTCATTGGTGTGGCCTGAGAGGCGGACTGCTGAGGTGCTGTGGTGGGACTTGGTAGACGCTGAGGCAGAGGGCTGCCAGCTGGGGGTCCAAGGCCAGAAAGATGTTGCTGGCCTTGTGGGGGTGGGCGCTGCTGCAGCGGGGGTCCCTGGCGCTGAGGCCCTGGGCCTGGCTGTGGAGGGCCTCCTAGGAACAGAAAAAAAAGAACAGCAAGTGAGAGTGAGTGAGCAAAAAAGCTGAGGCTGCTTGGGATGGTAGGAACCCAGGAGGCTTGCCCTCACCCTGGGGTGGGGGTCGTTGTTGAGCAGGAGGTCCTGCAGGCTGCTGGGAGGTCTGGCGGCTCAAGGGCAGGGCTCCTGGGGATGGAGTCTGTGGTAGAAGAGTAGAATACAAGAGATTAAAAATAGTTACCAAAGAGTGGGAGTAACAGCCAATCAAAACGACATGGATTCCCTGTTTGCTGGGTGTTGCCCCATTTGTGGCCAGTTGAGGGGCTATGAGGCCTCTCACCCCATACTTGGGTCAGGAGACTCTTAAGGATGGCAAGGTAGCAGCAATTTATTGAAGCTACATGTGCATAAAGGTGGCACTAATAGTCTACTGATACCACCTCGATGGTGTCAGTTTGATCAAGGGCTGGCCTCCTTCCCACTAGCTCAAGACCAAGGAAGGGCCTGACCTGGCTGTGGGAGCCCCTGCCAGGGGAAGCATCTCGCTGCCGCTGCCGAGGCAGAGCCTGAGTCATCTTGTTGACCACAAGTTCCACGATGAGCTGCTTGTCTTCATCCTGGTGATCACCAATGAGTGGCATTGAGGAGCCCACCACCTGTGAGAGGAAAAGGGATCCAATAGTAGGGGAGGCAGGAAGTGCATGCGAGGCCACAGTGTCAACAACACACTTTATCTTGGCAAAAAGCATGGTGACTGCAAAGAGAGCTCTGTCTGGCTTCTAAGGGGCACTGATTGTCCCCTGTAAGGAAAGCCTGCCAGTTCCAAGGCTCTGGACAGCTTTAGGGGTGGAGTGTTAGAGCTGGCTCTGCAATCAGAGTCCATGGTGGCAAATCTGGCCTGCTACATTTTTTCTATGGCTCATGAGCTAAGATATGTTCTATATCTTTTTCTTCTTGTTTTTAAAGGAAGCAGAACCACAACCACCCAGGCAAGCCTAAAACCCACCAGTCTAGCCCTGAAATCAGAGGCATGATTCTGCCTCACCCTCCCAAGTTGCTAGGATTCCAGGCACATACCATAGTTTAGGCTATCCTCAAACTGTTATCAGTTTTCCAAGTGCCGTTTCACACTGCACCCAGCCTCTGATATCTTTCAGTGGTTGGAGGAAAAAGGTTTCATGTGTGCACAAGATAGGAAATTTAAACTCAGTGTACTTAAAAGTCATAGGCATAAACACATAAGTTGTATCCATATGCACAGCTGCACTAATCTTCCATCTTGTTTTTGGCTGCTTTTATGGGACTGAATCAGAGTGTCAAACTGCATGGCCTACAAAGCATAAAATACGTACTGCTGGTCTCAGCTTTTACTGGGTACTCTGTCTTTTACAAAATGTTTCGCTGTGGTTTCTAGGACACTGTCAAAGTTAACTAAGTGCTTTACCATTTACCAAGCTATCTCTATTCACAGAGCACTTTATATCTTGGCAAGTGTTGCCCATTCACCAAAGATGTCCAAGTTTTTACCATTGCCATTTGCTAGGGATGTTCCAGCTCACACAGTACTTTACAGTTTCCACCACCCTTCCCGGAGGGCTTCTGAGTCACAGAATGCTTTCCAGTTTAGTTCATTTCCATGCAGCCACTCTTCCCTCTGTGCCCACCAATCCCTGGGTATTCCCACCTCAATAATGTGATCCCTTCCATCCTTGCCATGCAGAGCTTCCACTGCGCAGATGTCAAGTCCCCCAAAAATCTCTGAGCACGTGTCTACCCACAACTTGTACCTGCCAAGACAAGGGGCAGGACAGCTTGTCATTGCTCTGCTCAGACGATTCTACTCCACCTTCTTCCCTCCTCCCACTCCTCAGTTATGTGTCTCACCTATCAGACATGGCAATCTGCTCAAGCATAGCAGAACCTGTATTGGTCTTCCAGTTCCCTGACACTGATGTCCTCCTAGTGGGAGAGGGAGGAGAGACTTAGTGGGGCCTGAGATGCATGAGGTAGCCCACCCCACAAGACCTCTGTCTCTCCACTCACATGTAGGCCTTGTAGTTCTGCCCGATCTTCTGGACACGCACATCGTACTTGGCATCGATGAAGGGCTCAGCAGTGGCATATGTCTTAGTCAGTGCCACAACACTTGCAATATCCTGGAAGTCATGTTGGTTGTCTACCTTGACCTGTTGAGATAGGCATGGGATGAAGGCAGGAGTGAGGACTGAATGTATCTGGAGGGCTGTGTAGATAAATACAAAGTAGATGTGCCAAGGTGTCCAACATGCATAATTATGGGTAACTTGTTTCACAGATGTGCACACAAACATAAAATTGTTTGTATACAACTCTGAATATATTAAAAACGACTTTTTTGCAGTGCTGGGGACCAAACAGGGACATTCACATGCTACACAAGCACTTTACCACT